TTATTCTTTTAGAACTTTCTTTTATTGTTACCATTAAACAATTTACGACACTTGTAATTTATCAGGTGTAAAACTTGGAGATATTAGTAATACTAGCTGGATTACGCTGATCCAGACGATCGTTAGATTTCAAACGATACAATTTTGAAGGTTTCGCCGAATTTTAATAGAATTTCGAACGATCCAATTGCAAACCTGCTGAACTTTTGCATTCATCGATCGGCCATTTAAGCCAAAAACCTGTTCACTTCGATATTCCCTCGCTATCAAACCCTGTCAGCTATCCCAAGTGAAACAGCGACTCTTTGCAAAGCGGCGAGCGAATAAAACTGACTTGCACCGTAGAACCTCCTTAACCAGCGAAATCGAAGAAAGTTGGGAGCAATCCGATCTTATACTCGCAGTTACCGTTTCATCTGCCGAAAATTTCGCCGGGGGTCGCCACGCTCGACTTTACGACGAGAACTTTATCGAGCAACTTCCGGTTCGTTGGAAACGAACGAAATGGCGGCGCGAGAACCATCAAGTCGATTCCCGAGTACTTTTACAGTGTCAAACCGACTAATGTCCGCCCTCGGGACGCTCGAATTCATCCGTGACTATCTGTTTTCACCATCTATCGGCATTCTCGTCCGGTTTATCGTGACTCGATCGCGCATCGAACGAGATCCACGCAGTTTGTCAGCGATGAAGATGGCGAGACGCGAGAAGTTCGATCGATTTTCGATCGATATTCCACGACGGGGCTGTTTGCGGTTCTTAACGCGCGTTCTGCGTCTGACAGATTACTCCGCAGGGACTCTTCCTGTTCTTTATTCGGAAAGGGCAAGTTCGATGACGATGCTCTCCCCGGTCGGACCGGAAGTTTCCGCGGTGACGGGATAAGAATCGAAGTTAGTTCGACGCGGGGGACCGGGCATCTCGCAAAGTTAGATTCAGCAAGAAAGAGGGCTGTACCAATGAGAAAAATAATTCCGACGGATTAATCCAATTTGAAGATTTAAGCGTGCATATTAATCAACGTATTTTGGAACCTTAAGTTTCAACCTTAAGTTTCCAGAGCCTCGAAACGTAAGTTCGTCTTACTTCGTGAGAACTTAGCTCGTGAAAATTTGTTCGCTCTGTCTCCTGCTCCGTGTCCCTGGTATCATCCACAGGCTGTCAGGAATACCAGACAAAGAATAATCGTGACAGCTTCGTCTTCGTGGCTCGCGTCTACGTGCTTCTTACTTTGCACGCTACATTTCCGAATGCACTTGGTCAAATTGCGCCATGTTTCATCCGTGAACAATCCGTTGGCTCTGGTATTAACAGGGTCTAACCGTTCGAGTTTGTTGACGCAACTACCTGCAAGCGAAACTTAATCGAACGTGTTCAGACCGTGGTACGGGGGATGCTTCCTTCGTTCGGGGCGGAAAGAAACTCGGAGGAAGAGAGCGCACGCGGACCTCGTTATTTCTTTCGCCAACGTTTTTTGTGTTTCGCCCCGGAGCAACTACGCTTTTGTTACGATGACAATAATCGAGGGGCAATTCCGTCGCGTCTCTGCATGGAAAAAGTTAGTCCGAGGAATCGTGCAACAAATAACGATCGCGAGAAAAGGGATTCTTCGAACGTATCGGATCCCGTAAGAACGATGATCTACAGTAAAGTTTAAACGACGAAAATTTCGAAATTTCCGACAGTACGATTCAATGGGGAAAAAGTGTGTTTATTCGTTGAAAGCTTAAAGAAACCTGATTGTAAATGCGTCAGCGCGAAAATCTATTAAGGGAAAAAGATTTAAACAGAGCTGGCGAATTTATCGCGATGGAAAACGAAGTGACTTAGTTTCGCGATACTTCGGCCGGTTTTTGTTACAAACGCTCTCGCTGTTAATATTCCGCGTCAAAGCTGGCCAATCCATGACACGCGAAACTCTAAAAAACAACAGAGGGAAAATTTATATACTGGATTTTCTGGTCTCAAAAGGTTGCCGTCCACCAGCGGCTTGTCAAACAAATTTAACAGTTTAGAACGTCCCGAAACTTGTTATCTTTTTATTTTGTTTCTATGTCAATTTGTCGATTCGAAACGTTGAAGATTATACTGTCACGATGTCAAACGACCGTGACTTTTTTCCCCGTTTTCTGCTTCTTCCATAAATTCTATATGGAGAAATTTTATATGCCGATATACAGGATGAGCCAGTAAAAATTACCACTTTAAATAACTCGTTATCCATTGACTCTATAAAGCAATGTTTGATGTGAAATTTTATTTAACATTTAAATTTTATTTATTTATTTTATTTAAGAAACCTCGTCAGGCGAGAACATTTTATTTCGTTTCAATACCTTACACTTTTTGAGAGATTGAGCTAACCGAGATTTTCGAATGGCACGATATATTATTTATAACATTAGTCGATCTAACTAGATGTTTTCTGCAAAAGAGCATTAACCTATTTATAGCGGCAAACTTCAGCAGGTACTTTAACTTTAACTTTGTTAATTTATCGTACGAAAAGTAAAGACAACGTAAACACTGCCTTTCCTTGTCCTCCAGACATTAAAAAGTTACGAATTAAAAAGTTAACGATTCAACACACGCAGTGGCTACAGAAAGCATTTTTCTATATTCTTATTTCCCAAGAAAATACATCTTTCTATATCAGATTTTATATATTTTACTTCCAGAGTATCTAATGTTACTTCCAGACTAGATGTACCTAATTAATTAGTATGCCAGTGTTATAACGAGTACAGTGGATTCAAATACAGCTGAATACACAGATCCGATTCGTGACTCGTCTCCACTGATATAGCTACCCAATTTACGGTTTGCAAAAGGTGTGAAACGTAGTTCGTTACCTTGAAGAATTCATATAATGAATGAATCACACGATCAGCCACGAGTCACGACGACAAAATAGAAGATATCCAGCTACTCATCCGCGCTGATTGCGCGTTGCTTTCAGACACACGCGAAACCGAATAAGTTTCATGGGTCAATCGTAATTTCCAACAGAATTCGAATCTGTCTCACGCAACCATCGTTTCAATTTATGGATACGATTTCGTAACGATTCTCCTCCCTTTTTTTTTTTTTTTTGTTTTTAATTAACGAACACAACGACGGCTAATCGACTGGTAAAAAAAAAAAAAAAAACGGAAAAATGGAAGGCAGTTACGTCAGTTCGTTTCGCGTGGAGGACGTACGTTTACGCCCCATGTAATTTTTCGATTATCCAGCGATGTTATTGCATCGCATTGTGCCGACGTTGGAAACACTCCCATCGAGTGATTCCTTTGAATAGAATGCACGCGGCACTCTTGGCTGTTAGCGAATCCGACATAACAGCTGCTTCGCGGTTTTCAATCGCCATCGAACGGAAGTTGTTATCGCGTGTCGGTTAACCTTGAGGACAATACCAACATTGTCAAACAAATTTGACACCGAAAAGAGTCATTCACTTTTAATAAACGAGATTCACAGCGTATAATTAACTGCTAGTAACGATTGTCAGTTTTGATTGTTTAACGTACGATGATGTGGGTATTTCCGAGTGTCATGCAATTTTGCAAGCGACACCTTTTCCTACATCGTACCACCTGCGTTACGAAACAGGTATTGTACAATACAGTATTATACAATACTTACGAACCCTTTGTTCTTCTTAATGAGATGTACACAGATAGCATACTCCGTTTAGACATAGTTGTTCATCGCGATATTTCTTTCAGTCGAAGTATTTTTTTACCAATTATGTAAAATATTTATGCAAATGCTTGGATACGTTAACGTTCTAGAAACTTATCAAAGACAATGGCAAAGCGAAGATGTTGTAAGTCGTGACAACATGCTGTATCCGCAAATAGTATGCTGAACTATATCTATTCGATAAACGAACAAGAACGTCGAGTATTTTAGTTACAACAAAACAATCGTTTCGCGTTATAATCGTTGGAAAATTTGCCCAGCAGCAAAGTTATCGGTTAGAGCGTTCTAGAACGAGAAACAGAAAAAGTAGACATTCTTCGCGATCTTAGAGAAACACTGGTTGCCGCAAGAACAGTTATAATTACCGCACTTACCGCAAAGACGTCTATCCGTCTAGGCAGTTTAGCATTGTACTCCGACCGACGCTGCTCCTCGCATTCTTCTCGTTGCTAGTCTTGTTCACGTTCGAGTAACACGTCGTCCGTGCTATCTGGAAATACGAATTCGCTTTCTCCTAATAACTCACAAATGGGTTACAAACACGACCAATGCTGGCTGATGGCATTCGCAAGTCTAAAAACGCTCAAACTCACAGTTTCGGAATATTAAGAATTTCAAAACCGAGATGTTTAAATCTTCAGATTACTCTAAGGTGATTGTGATAAATTTGAAAAATTGAAAAGTTTTGTATCATAAACGTCTATTTCAATGACATAAACGATATATATTTAACAGACATACTATAGAACGCAGAAAGAATCTTTACATTTCGAAAGAACGGAATATTTTCGAATAATCGATGACCTCGCCAACGCTGACTAACGTGTATTTCACAATCCTGAATCTCTGTAATCGTTTAACATGAGATCTACGCTAATGACATATCTGTCCATTGAAATGATATAAGGTAACAGGAAGAAAATACACGAAACATTAAATCATTACTCGGATGATTGATAAAAGAAGTTGAACCGGTGAAACGAAAAGAGGAGACGACAATTTCGTTGGCCATTTTTGTCCCTAACGGCACTACAAAACCACGCGATGTCACAATAAAAAGTTGTACGTCACAGTGACGTTGAAATAGCTTTCGTAAAAGTGGTTAACCAATGGTCTATTGTACGAGTTTTCCAGTTCCACAAAAACGTACCACAGGCATGCGCTTCTTCACGTTCACTGGTCCCAAGCATCGAGTTCCATTCCGTGAGAGAACGTGGCATCCAAGTCTATCAAGCTCGTGTATTTTCTATCACGATCGTGAAAAATATCGTTCACGATATTCATCGTCTAACACGTTGTTCGTCGATAATATATTCTTTATTCTACTATTTTGCTTACAAAAGTAGAATCACCTTTGGCGTTACAGGAAAGACATACATAAGATCGGAGACCCCTTTATTTTCTTACAATAGTCGGTCAATGATATGTAAATTATACGAATACTCGATTAAATTTATACATCGCTGACAGAAATTTACACTTGAATAGCCGACAGGCGTTACGATATAAAATTCTAGCAAGCTGTTCCGTGTTCGCGTCGAATTTCAAACATCGTAATTAATGTTATTACGAAATAAATTATCAGGCCGAAATTAACGCGATAGAGGAACGTAGAGAGGATCAAATGTTTCTGCTTTTCAAACTGCGGCTTTACGAACGATTTTTCCAAAGGATACCGTGAAAAACGTTGCAACTTCAACGGTACTTTCAACAATATATTCAAAACGAATCTTCAGCCAGCTCATAATTAATCAACAGACCGTACTTGTTTACAAAGAATCTATGAATCGAGCTAACGACAATTTCGACGCGATTCAAATCGTTTCGTCAAAGTGTTTCGCATCCATTCGCGCGAACTTCTTCGTTCGGCGATTCGAACGTCGTCTTACAAATCTTTTCAGACCGACCAACCCAACGGTCTGAAATTTCTGCAAGACCGTCGTCGAAGAAATTGTGAAAGAATACCGTTACCAGTACCGAGAATCTCGAAGACAGACGTTGTTTACGAGGCAGTGTAGCGAAGACACGCGACATTGGCGACTTTGGCGACTGAAACTTTCCAGGAAATAGCGCGAGCTTCAATTAAAACGTACTGACAGGATACGACAAAACGGAGAAGTCTTATCCGCGTTTCTCTTCGCTCGAACGAGCCATTGTCTCGTTTTCTTGATAATGGACGCGAGAATGCTTTTACGAGGTCCATCGGTCGTCGTGGATCGTACGAACGAATCTACGAAAGTATTTCATTTCTCGATGACCAGTCCTTTGTTTCCGTACAAACAAGTAATAACATACACAAAATAATGTACAGGTAGGTCCTCTGTCCGCGAAGCTTTTTACATTTACGAAGCTTTTGCGAAGCGCGTATTAGACGCGTCGATGTTAACGATAGATAGAGTAATACTACAGATGCACAGATGCCCACGGTAATATGCAACTGTCCACGAAACAGTAATGAGCCGTTTTCGTCGCTGCGCGTTTTCGTCGTGACGACTGGCGTTAACATTGTCAGTAGCGAGGCGTACGTTGCAAGTACGAACGAATGTAGCGATATAGGATGAACGCGTTTTCCTCGTCGCTCGACATTTTAACGACGAGACGAAGCTTGTACGCTTTGTAGTGCGAACACTGTCGTGAACTTATCGTCGACTTATACATAAACTACGCGTCGTGGGCGGATACTGGGCCTTACTCGACTCATGACCTAGAAATGACAAACTCAGTCGGATAGTTGCTTTGAACGTGTCACGCGTACTCAAGAATCTGAATAAATTAGAGGACAGAATATCGTATAAATATAATACAAATAATACTACTAGTATTTTTAATAAATATTAATAATACGACAGGTGTAATTAATATCGATATTCTCTCGAATCGCGACACGATCGTAGAATTCTTCGAACGTTAAATGTTAAACAATGTCGGACAAATGTTGCGTAAGAGAAAATTGATCGAATATCGCTCGTTGTAAAAACGACGAAGCGGAACTGGTGCATTGAATTTTAAAATGACATTGTCGATTTTTCATGACGTAATACGAACGGTTTTATTGTTCGTTAAAATCAGGCTTTATCTTATAGGTGTTGTATGAATGGTTTGCTAAAAATAGTTCGTCGCCTGATAAGTGATTCTAAACGAACACCGCGAATCGAACGGTACATCGTTTTTACGAATCACTTGAAAATACATCGTTTCCAGCCTGAGAATGCTCATAGATGGTTATAAATTTCAAATTAATTAATTACAATTTTTCTCGCTGTCGGTTTCGCAGGTTAAAGAATGTTTGAAAAATAATAAACTCTTCATTTTAAAACGGCAAAACGTTCAATCGTTTAATTGCCACTTCAGTGAACTCGGAATCGAAGGTAGACCAGTGCAGCGAAATAAATTATGAAAATCATCGATCTTCGGAGCACTTGTATACCGATTCGATCGGCGAATATTTATGGCAAGTAATATAACGGTAGATTCGAGCTTCGCGTTAATTCTTTAAATTACGAATGAAACATTCTAATTATGCTACATTACGAATAATGCTGAATGACGCAGATAGATAACTGCGTTTGAAATAGATTGGTTCGGATTCATTTACGCGACTAACGCGTATCTAACATAGAACCGGATCCGTGTCTTGTCGTTTATCGATTTCGTTTTAATTAATCGAAAGTCGAGATTCCAATTTTTTACGAATTTCGCTCTGATGGCATAAACCGTTCATCGATATTTTACATATTTCGATATCATTCACACTGCGCTAATTATAATACAAATCTAACAATTCGTTCCATTTGTACAAGTTTTCGAAAGTACTCGAACACGTTCACACATCTTTCACGGATATATCGTATTACGCGAAACATTAGAAAATTTCGTTAACGGTGTTGCGTGGTTCGACTATCGTGATATGCTGGTAAAGTTTGCAACAAATCCCGCAATGTGTATAAAAATTACAAGATATTTATTGTAGTCGCATACACTTTTCAAATATCGCAGAAATGTTAAATTGTTCGTTATACTAGTAAGACACGACATTTACAGAAATCATCTCTTTACCTCTAACTACACGTTTTAGACGACTATTCACGCCGTGTACTGATCTTTTACTAATCGTAAATGTGTATTTTCAATAAACGTAAGTGCAGTTTCGATGTAATCGCGATAGTCGTGTCTTATTAGAGAAATAATTGAAAATGTTTAATGTGAGACATGTAATATGGTTTTTCTATATCGTATTTAAGATGTGTATAGAAGTGGGACGTTGATAAGGAAACCAATAAAAATATATATGTCTGTGGACATTAAAGTTCTCCATGGCAAGCGTTAAAATCGCTTTTGCGAGTCTGTATATAATGTATATAACCCTGATAAAATCTTAATGCTTAAATAAATTCGACAGTCGTAAACTAAACGTATTTTACGATAAGTTAAATTTGCACGGTGATATGTGAGAAATGTGCGCTAAATCAGTCTTTGAAAATAGACCCTGTAAGGTAACTGCGATCACGTAAAAATTCCTGGAGGTGACATTTCGATCGGCTGAACCAATCAGACAAAAAGCTTTGCGTTCGTGGCTGTTTCTGCTTATGAAGAAACTCGCAAAGATTGCATACACCTTGTTGAATACCATCCTCGATCTTGTAATACGTTTTCCAAGCAAAGTACTCGCTGTATTTTCGCGGATTTTTGATTAGCTCCTTTAGATATTCGGCCAAACTCTTTGGCGTGTCAAAGTCGAACACGTCTATGTAAGATCGTGGTGGAGCATAGCGGCTGTAATTGGCGCCACCATAAACGATGGGAACCACGTTGTATCTGGAAACAGAACGGAAACAATGCTCTTTGTTAGGTTTCCTTTAGCCGTGACACCTTTTATACCTCCGCCTATTGTTGTCTCAAACAACGAGCATGTAAGGAGTAATTAAACGCGATATTAATATCAAATATATGCAATTAAACAGGCGCGATAATATGAAATGTCAACGTGTGATAGCAAGGTCGAAAGTATACGTGAAATTTAAGCGCTATTTATGTCAGAACCACTCAAGAACCAAAATGGTCAATTCCACTTCTTGTAAGCTTCTCAATTTTTTCTCAATCTTTACGAACGTATTTAAAGAAATTAAATTTAAACACAAATTCCCTCCTCTCATTAAATATTCCATATACATATATGTTTCTACACGTTACATGCGTTCTGAATATCTACGCTTCCAAATGCCCCTCGTTTATTCGCGTTCCAGTATTCGCTTCTCAAGAAACGAACGATATCGAATACTAAGGTAAAGAAGAAATCAGTAATTGACCATCTGCCTCTACTTTTCGATTTAGATTCAATGTGGTTTCTGAACGGTTCGATTAATATTGTTTCAGTCGCTCAAGTCTGCGCTCCCCTTCTAATCTATTCGTATCGCGCTCGCCACAGGTGCAGGTATACAAAAAAGAGACAACGAAAGAGAAAAAAAAATAGAAAGCATCGTGGAGAACAAAACGTGGGGAAACGAAAAAAGGTAGAAGACGGGGCAAGCCTGTCGGGGAGGGAGAGGATGGCGATCGCTCGCAGAGCATGGTCACGTGTCGAAACAATTTTATACGGATTCGTCGTTTGAAACACGAGTCCGTCAGCCGATTTGAAATCGGTCAGCGGGCACACGGCAGGTACGAGCTGCGACTGACAATTTTATAGTCGAGATCGTCCCGCGGCCATTGTTTTACCTGAGGCTATTGTACAGCTTCTCGGTTACGTAATCGTCGCACAACGAATTCTCGAATGACAGGTAAAAAAAATAGCCAGGTTCCGCGACTCGTGCGAAGCAATCCTCGTTACGGGGACAAAACATGTTGCCGCATTTTCCATAAACGTCGACCGGTATGTGCTTGGACAGTTCGTTCACGTACTCTTCCCGGCCGCTTTTTGCCACGCAGTTGCTCACGAACCAGATTATCGGCTTCGTCTTGCCTCGAATCGTCTTCGACAACGACGCGTCCACATCGTAGGCGATCGTTCGGTTACCTGTGCAAACGGATCGTTGCTTTGATGACACCATCGATGACTTTAACCGGCATTCTATTCGCTCTAAAGACCGCCCAAGCTCGTTCGTGTGAAATAATTTTATTCCGCGTTCATGATCGACATCTACGTCGTATCGTGACGATTAGATTTACCCGATTGAGAATGCGCTGTATGTTTTTATCGCGAATCTCTCGAATAAACATGAATCACAGTAAACATTAAACAAATACAGCCTCGTGCAATGCCTCGGTTGGACAAGATCAAGAGAAACAAGAAAGAAAGAAAAAGAAGAAAATCAAAGAAACCACAAATACGTATTCGTTTATGATCTTTCTTTCTTGTGACGTGTAATTATCGAAAATTACGGGGAACGATCGAAGAAAAACGAACATGACGTAGCTGAAAAGAGCAACCAATCGTAAAGATAAACAAACGCGAAGGACAGCTAATTTGTAACAGTTAATAAAGTCATCGGCGACACTGTAATTAGTAAGATTCCGTGCAGGCTTTGTACGTTGCGCAACGCTATTACGCAAAAGAATTGTTACAATCTGCGGCTATTTTCCGGCCTCTAGCGACTTACTAAACCTCCTCTTTCCTTTGGCCACAGCGCACACACGGATTCCCCGAGGAAAATTACACGCTAACGATGGTATCTGATTATGGCGCGCATAACATCAACGTTGATAAGCTAACGATCGTAATTTAATTTCAACTTAATTACACGCATCAACGCGTAATCCGTTCTCCATTCGATAACCAGTTACAACGACCTCGTTAGAGCTTTTATAATTGTATCCTATTTTTTGCTTTCGCCACGCAAGACACGTTTTCCCCGGCTGTTCCCTGGTCGCATACGAAGAAACTCGTAGCCGCAAAACGTTTTTGCAGCACGTTTCAAGCGGCTGCGCGGCTAGGAAAGAACAGCTACCCGTGTCTCGTGTTACGCCAGCAAATGGCCGTGTTCTTTGTCGTACCGGGCAAAAGCAACGAGGGGGAACCGAGATTAATTACGCACAGCGACGATTATGAAGCACGCGGGACAAGATGATGCGTTCTCCACGAAGCAACTACCGAGGGTGAAACGATTTTCTCGCGCCGTTCTCTATAGTCGGAACAACCAAATTTGATGTACAAATTTATTGCTTTGTTTTTTACGTACTAACGTACTAACAGATCCAAACAGGAATGTATATGATTTATTACAGTGTCGTTTCTTCGACTAAACAAGAAATGATTTATGTTAGAGTATCTTAGCCTTTCAAAATAGTACCCCCTTTAGATTGTAAATAAATTTTTCTTCGTTTATTATCGACAATAAAAACACGTGTTTTCGTATGACACGATCCGAGCAAATACTGAATTATCGGATACAAAAGAATTAGGTAGAAGTAGACCAGTTCGACATTCAGGTATCAAGTTTGATCGTCGTAATTATAGCGAAGGATGAACAGAACGGAAAAATTTCTCAACCAGATAATCGATATCCAAGGATTGCTTAAACGAGGCTATCTTTAGAAGATTCAAGATTTTCTTTTTTTCCTGATTTCATTACCTGATCCAGCGTAAAAGGCGCTCCAATTCACATTTCTGCTAGGCGCTACATTTACGTTGGTACGAGCGTCCTTAACGACTGCATAAGTCCACACGATATCGCTGTCCAATCTGTATGTCATCGTGATGTTAAAGAAATCCTCGTAAAAGTAGTTAGTCACCGGCCTGTTAGCCGGGCTTTCCAAATTCACGAAAACGTACCACTGCCGTGGACTCCGGTTCTTCGGCAAGTCTTCCAGATTAAGATCGTTCCCATGAAACAAAACAACGTCGAAGTCTGTCGGATTCACCATATGTCTGTTGTTAGTCGCGTAACAATCGTTCACGGGGCAATCGCGGGCGATGTAGCCTGTGCCCATGTAAAATGTCTCGCTGCTGAACATCTTGGTCCAATATAGGATTTTCTTCGTCGTATTGACGAATCGTAGATCCTGGTCAAAGACTCCCCCGAAGCGTAAGAGATCGTCGTCGCTCCCGTTGAAGCAGAAAGACAGAACGTACAGAGCGATCGTGAAGATCGTGAGGACGATCAAGCTGTTTTTTCCAATCACCCATAATTTCATATCGGTCATCTATGGTTATTCGTCTTGTTTCGAATTTTGTCTCGTTGCTGAAAAAGATTGTTGCGTGATTTTCATTGACGAGATCGTTCTCATCTGTTTTTCTGTGTCTTGCCGATTCCTATCGAGGTATTGTAATTGTTTAACTAACGGAAATCCCGACGTATCGTTAAGCTAGTTCCTTTTCTCTTTTTCTTTTTTTTTTTTTTTTTTTTTTTTTAACATCTTGGTCCAATATAGGATTTTCTTCGTCGTATTGACGAATCGTAGATCCTGGTCAAAGACTCCCCCGAAGCGTAAGAGATCGTCGTCGCTCCCGTTGAAGCAGAAAGACAGAACGTACAGAGCGATCGTGAAGATCGTGAGGACGATCAAGCTGTTTTTTCCAATCACCCATAATTTCATATCGGTCATCTATGGTTATTCGTCTTGTTTCGAATTTTGTCTCGTTGCTGAAAAAGATTGTTGCGTGATTTTCATTGACGAGATCGTTCTCATCTGTTTTTCTGTGTCTTGCCGATTCCTATCGAGGTATTGTAATTGTTTAACTAACGGAAATCCCGACGTATCGTTAAGCTAGTTCCTTTTCTCTTTTTCTTTTTTTTTTTTTTTTTTTTGTCGCGCAGTCAAAAATGCGTTTGTTACGTTCGAAATAACCAGCTGAATTGATCTTGAAGAGAGTTTAAATGAAACACAACGGACAAGGAGGAGGCTCAGAGCAACAGATTTCGATCTCTCGAGTCTTAATTCACTGTGCAAAGTATTCTAACGAACAGTTGATGAGTCATGTAGAGGTAGCGTAATGATGAGCAAATGTATTGTTTGTGATAGTAATCCATTAAGAACATCTGATATGCAATTCGTTACGCTACAGCTATCGTAACTTTTTGAATAATTCACGACCTAAAAAAATCACTTATAATATATTATTCAAAGGTAGTAGATCGATTATGCGCTAAAGCTATAAGTAGATTTTTCTGCGAGTCACGTAATCTAGTATGAAAATGAACGTTTTCTTTGGACTTACAATACTTTCAAACAATTTAAAGGAACGTAAACGTTAAATACAATGTTCCTTTATTACTTGAAGTACTATGCGCGTGGATTACGACAATGAAGCTAATTGAATACGTAAAAATTACCCGACGCCTAATAGATAAACGATAAAGAAAATTAACAAAGCATTGTTCTTATCGTTTCTCCTTCTATCTTTTCTTCTATCGTGCTCTTCGTTGACACACGCAACAGGCTGATACAGATAACAACGCTACAGAGAGCAAAAGAAACAGTCCGCGATATTATCAGATTTCGTTTAATTGAAAATGCCTTCCAAAATCGTTGCCTCTCTCTTGTCGATCGAAAATTCTGTAATGGACACGCGTCAAATCAAACGTATCTCTGTTCTCATTCTGTTTTTTCGTTTACTAAAAGAAATTTGGCTAAATTTCTGTTACTTCGAACGTCGTGAAAATTACGAACTTACGTGATTATACAAATTTTGAGGTTTCCAATGAAAACGAGTTTTCTCGCAAGCGAAATCAATCGAAAATTGAACAATTGCGTGATCGAGGCAAGTCTATGGAAATCGAAATCTTTCCGCCGGATTGCAACGAAGTTTGGCTAAAAATCTGTTGGTTCGTGTGTTATGCCCAAAGCTATGACTACGTAAAACCATTATGTAAGATTTTAAAGTTCACCATAGACACTGCACTCGCGATCTTTTTTAATCGTTCGCGATTCTTAGAAATTTCGTGCATCGAGACGCGATTGTATCGGAACGCGTCGAATTCAAAAAGGGAGGAGCCCGTTTCCGGCGAAGGATCGACGATGAAAAGAATGATAAAGCGTGTGATCGATGGTTCACCATTGCCACGACGCGTCCAACATGGAATCCGAATGTGGGACACAGGTGTTCGATGAAGGAATTTGTCGGAAATCGCCGCAGTTCGCAGTTTACTCTCTGAAAGTCTCATAAATTTCGCGTATTCGCCTCGGTTGTCCTCTCGTCCTTCGGTGTGCTCCTCGCGTTCTCATCTCGAGGAACATCCGATGTTTCGTTCCTCCTACTATGTTTCAATCGTGATTCGCTAACTTCGACTATCATCGATGGTTTCTTCTTATTTTATCCTTGTATCCGGTTTTTTTTTTTTTTTTTTTTTTTTT